CTATTGGTTACAAAATACTAAAGTTAATGGCTAGCGCGCGAATATATAAATTCTATATAGTTAATGTTTGTAATACTAATTTCATGTTGAACATCAACATTAAAAAAGTGTGAGAGAGAATGAGGATATCTCTTTGTATACGCTTATTTTTATTTATGATAAATATTTATTACAAAGCCTTTTTTAAAATCAATATAGCATCAGTATGATTGTCTAGTGACTAAGACTATTCTCAAGGTGTAAAACGACTCCCACTGAAATTCCAAATATTCGATAAAAAAATGTTTCACAAAATATCAGTTTTTGGAAGAATATTACAGATAAATTTATTTTTAATTGAATACATGAATTAAAATTATAATTATGCACCGTGAATAATTAAAATTGTTTTAAATTGCTTACCAATAATTTATTGGTTCATACATTATACGTAAAAAACAGTCTGAGTCCCGGTTCACCACATTGGTTAATAAAGTAATACATGGTGTAAAGTAACGATATTTCATTACAGGGCCAATGAAAACGATGGATATACCAATTTTTTTCCCAGTGTCGATGATACTTTTTTTTTTGTATTCCCTATGAGGTCACGGCACTGAAGAAGTATATTGACAACAACAGGACGGATAATGAAAAGTCCGTAGGAAAGGGAGCAGTAAAAATCCGCACCGCAATAAGTAAGACCTTGTTCCAAATCTTGATGCGTACCCAGCCAGCACCGAGTTACCCTAAGGAATTCTGGAAGATAACTTCTGTAAGATAAAGGTCAAGATCCAGTTAACTGGGAAGTTACTTTGCTAAAACTTACAGACAACGCATGGTTCTCTTAATACCAGCGCAGAGATAACTGAAGTGAATAACTTCACGTCATCTAAAGTTAACTGCAAGTTAAGCTTTCAAAGTTAAAATTTTAACTTAAGTTAACTGAACTGTAACTTATAGATATAATGTATATAATGTATATGATATTTGTAATCACTTCGAAGAACATATGACTTTTCATCGTATCTCTAATACAATCTTTTTCGTATAAATATTTTTGATATTCTTATTTTGTATGTCATATAGTAATATCACGTGTTCGAATACTAGCTTTAAAAATACTGATCAAGTAGTAAATATTTAAATACTAGAAATAAGATTTGGTGAAATCTAGATTACACCGAATTCTCTCCATTGATTGCATCTCTTTCGACAACTTCTTTGTAATTGGCTTTAGCTATTCGTTTTTCGAGAGCTTTTTGAGCATTTTTTATAAGCTTGATTTCTGCAGCCAATAACCCATACTTTTTACATCTTCCATTCTAAATGATTTATTATCTTTTATGCTCACATCTAAAAGTATATAATTAACCTTTAATATTTAAATCATAGAAATCTAATAAAAATTAAAAATTGAACTTACGAACAATCAACTTCGCAAAATTCGTTCCACTCAATTTGTTGGGGCACTTATTGTTCATGGCAAAAACTGATTTTTATCAACAATATACGGATGAATTACATACAAAAACGTGCGCGTGGCGTTATCGCTGGTCGGACTAATATTGCAGGTTATGATTTAACTAAAAAAGCCAACGTAACGTCTTTGGCTTTGTAATATGATAACTTTACGGTACATTTTACATGTTTACTGGAAAATTACTTAACTAATTCTACTAAACGTTAACATTTTTCAGATATCTAAAGTTAACTTCAAATAGAACCACTGTACGATGTTGTTTTCCAGTTACCGTAAAGTTATATTAAAAATTTTTTCTCTAAGTTACCTTTTGTCAGATAACGTAAGTTATCTTAAAATATAAAGCTTAATGTTATCATTACAAAGCTAACTGTTCTTCTTATCTTATAGTTCTCTGCAATTTACCTTTTTGATAATCGTAAAGATAACTTGTGAACGGCAAATCTACGATTTCTAAAAGTTAGCTTGTGCTGGCTGGGTATGCATCAAAGTTATGATGAGAACGGATTATTAAAATCTGAATCGGATCCTGTGTGGGTTGCGATATGTACCAATATCAATAATGCTATTCATCCCACACATTTTTTGAAAGTACGTAATTTATTTACTTACATCATTCAGAACAGAAATAATATTTTAGTAGATTTAAAAACACGTGAAAAAAAGATTGAACCCGAAAAAAAAATTGTTACTGATTGTAAAAATACCAATGATGAATTTGATCTGTTGCAAATCAAGAGAGATCATTTGTACAGCCCTTCGATTAAGGAGCTTGGCACATTTCCTTTTGTAATCATGTACTTACCAAAAGAATGCATTACTTTAGCAACAGATTTACCACGAGATACGCATTTCTATTTTAGCACTGTAGGGTCTTTCAGCAATGATTTTGTTTCACCTGATGGGTATGAAAGCAACAAGATATCGTTGTATTCTTTAGGTATTGAAGTAGCAAATAATTTTATTCCTATTTGTCAGTTGTCCTCTGAAGAAAATCGTTCTTCTCTTTTACCTAGATTTTTTAGTGAAATTCTTCGTGGTGGACTACTAGTTCCCAAATCAATCACATTAGATTACATTATTAATCATATTATTTCTGTAATTAATGTTTTCAATGTTGACAATAGTTATGAAAAATATTTGGAGTTGTGTTTCAGTTACTTGAATAATGGAAAAGACACGTTACCAAGATGTATTTTGAACGTCCATGAGAGACTTCTACTAGTAAAAGTAATGCAGTGGAAATGCATAAAAAATATAAAATTAAAATCCAATCAAATATTTATGATTTACTCCATAATCGTATTGAGCTCACAAACAAGTTTAAAAAATTTTGAAAAAAGTTTGAAAAATTTATTTATTCTCTGCAGTAGTAAATTTCGAGATGAAAAAACTACATTAATTTTTAATGATTTTGAAAAGAAAATAAACGATCTAGATGTAAGCATTAATTTTGAAAGTAGTAAAATTACAGAAATTCAAAAAGAGTTCGAAAATTTACTAAGCAAAGAAGACGAGATTAAATTGNTTTTTTTTTTTTTTTTTTTTTTTTTTTTTTTTTTTTTTTTTTTCAGAGTTCTCGAATACTATACCCATCCACTAGGATATAAGGTTCCCCATTACTGTACTCTTTGATAAACAAACCAGGCGTTCGGAGAAATTGAAAATTAAAATTTTGATCAACTCGACGATCCAACTGTTGGCTGAAGCCGAATCCTTTTTGTTTGGTCACGCTCTTCCTGCTAGCATTGACGTCCGATCGATCGATCTTTTCAAGGAAACCCAGCCCGAGGAAGGGTATCCAGCAATGCGCTCATGAGAACTGCTCCACATTAGATCATCGACACCAGGAAAATCCTCGAGTTCAAGGCATCGACTTTTTTTTCAAGAGAAATCAATCAAGTATCGATTCTGAATGTTGTTGTTGTTTTTTTTTTTTTTTTTTTTTTTTTTTTTCAAGTGTTAACGACATTCGCCGTAGCTCATTCTTCATTAGCAACATATATGTAACGATTAAGTTTTTTTTATTACAGATCTGCGCTTATCTCAATAAATTTTTTCGATGTTCAGGAAAATACCGAGTCTACATACCGATGGTTGAGTACTCGATGCATTCGTAATTGCAATGGTGGCTTGTTTGCGTATCGCATATCGTGTGTTTATGCATAAACTGCGTTCCCTTTTAACTTATCGCAAGGCTTGGATAATTTATTTATTTATTTTGCGGGTAATAATATTTATATTTTCATGAAATAATCAAATACTTGCAGTCTGCACCGGTGGTACACCAAACATACCTGTGTGTATGTAGTACGGTATTTATACATATGTTTAATCTTGTATCTACGTACGAGTAACGATCGCTACAAACTTGGTAATATTTAATTAAAATAAATTCGTTTACAAACGGTACATATCGACAGCAGATAGCGATCTCGGCGTTGTAAATTAATACACCAAGATAAGATACGCAAAATAGAAGATACGCTTACGTTGATTATAATGTTAATTGATCGAGTGTGCGTTTATTAAAGTGATTTCGTAATCGAATCGTTTAACATATTGTATTTGGAATTTTTCCAAGGAGCAGGAAATTCGTACAAAATCGTTGACTGTCCATCTTTGCAAGAATTTTTTAATGCGCGTGATTATCCAAGTGCCTGAATTACATATACATTTTTTATTTTATTTCTTATTTTTACAAGTATAGGTATAAAATAGTATATTGAAAAAAGTATCAAAACGATTCCTCCGTTTACCTTGTGTATACATGGTTAAAAAGAGAGCTCTCGCATGAAGTGTAGGTATACCGTGAATCGAGCCGTGAATTAAGTAAAATTGCCATGTGTCATGCATTTGACGCGGAATCCGGAAACACTTCTCTCTCGAGTCAACCGAGTACTTTACACATTTTCCTTCGTCCACTCGTATAAATATCTTCGCAGACCTGTAGAGTGCGTGGCTATAACTTTTTACTTCTTTTTTGCCACGTTGTGTCACGCGTACGTTAATTTTAAATAACGGGTGTGTGAAAAAGATTCAATAAAAAATTAAATAATTTCTTTTGATAAATCGCTGTCGCAAATAATTTTTGAACTGCATAAAATCGGTAATGAAAATGAAAAAATCGGTAGCAAGGAAGCAGGTATTGTTGACGGCACCTCTACCCCCATAAATTTCTCTCTTTTGAGTGAACCCATCGACATCCTCTCCGGCACTTGCCTCGAAGAGGAAAACCGCGCATTCCTGCTGCCTCGTTTTTTCCCGTCGGCGAGGGCCCCAACCGAGCTGATTCCGTGTGCCCGCAGAGGAGGGTCCGCTGGCGTCGTTGTCATCAAACAAGAGAGAAAGAGAAATCCAACATGCACATTCTCGGCCGGATGGGGGCCGAGGGCGGCGAGCCGGGGCGGGGCAAAGGGGGACAAAAACACGCGTGGCGCGCTGTCGGCTGCAACAGGCGCGCTCGGCACGCAGTCCCCGCGCGATTCTTACGCTCGTCGGGTCTTTTACACTCCTCTGTATATTTATATATATATATTTACAGGGAGGATCTGTCGTTCATTCTCGCTCGAGTTTTTGCCCAGCCAAAGTTTACACTGGGCCAAAAAAACAAAAACCTTGTTTTTTCCTTAAAGTGCTTTTGGGTCTTTTTTTCCCCAAGTGTCGCTGTGTTGGTGTTGGCTTGGAAGAGATAAACGGTCGCGTATACCTGCCTCGCAAGTGAGATTTTGGTGGAAATAAGCCAAGGGCTTAATCCTCGGGAATTTTCGAGAATCTCGGGTGTAATACGTAGTGCCTCGTAGCACCAGGAGCCCTCCCTTGACGATTTTCCCGTAAGTATTTTGTGTTTTTGTCAACTCCCAACCATCCGTTAAGTGGAAAACTGTATTTTGTTTTTCTGTTCGGTGACAATTGCATTAGTACTGTAGTAAATAATTTGTGGTACGAGCATTTGAAACTTGTTATTCAGTAATGCGAATGCCGATTCGAACCGATCACATGCGCGTGAGTTTTGTTTGGTAATTTTTACTTACTTTCCACTGAAATTTTACAGTAAAAGGAGAGATCAAACTAATGGAAAACTTATACAGCTATTCTTTTTATAAACGGTAAAGTACAATAATACTATTTTCATCAAGCAAATGGTGACATATCTCAAAAGTTTGAGTAAAAAAATCTTTGAAGTACCCACGAGGAACAAAATTTTCGTTGTAATTATTACGCGTTTCGCTTATTTCGTGCTCATCAACAAATCAGTATCTGTTTGCGCTCGTGTCAAAGTTTACAAGTACCCTCACAAATCATGGGGCCATCGGCGATAGCTCGCGATTATCATCTCTCGCTTATCTCGATGTTGACGCGTGGCTTTTTATTTATTTGTTTATTTACTTTTTTTTTTTTTTTCTCCCAAGACAAGAGCAAGGGAAAAGCAAGCAAGGCGCTTTCAGATTTTTCCAAAGGCTGGAGCAGGCGCTTTTTTTCCTGTTGTCGCGTGAGAGCAACCGGTTCTTCTGCCACCCTCCTCTCGCTGTCCCTCTCCCTCGCCAGCGTGTGCGCGCTCTCCGGCTGCTTTTTTGGCTTTTACTTTTGTTGTTGAATGGATTTTTTTTTTTTTTTTAATGTAAACAGCTGGTGTTTAATGCGATTGCTCGGGTAGATTTACAAGCTCGACTTGATGTTTTTTTTTTTTTTTTTTTGTTCCATGTTTATTCATTCGGTGCCTGTGGTTTGTACGAGTGTGGTTTCAAAGTTTCCGAGGCGATATATGTGTAGGAGGTACGTGAAACATAATACATCTGGTCGCGGCTAGCCGAGAGTGGACTTTAAACTCGATCCCTACGAAGATCGCTCTTATTGCTCTTTTATGCTTCTCGGAAACAAATTTAATTTTATCGAGTCAACTGGCTCCACTTACTTTTTAGTGCTGCACACTCAACGCGAAGTTGCGCTGAAAATCCGTTTTCGTTAATTAAAGTAATCGATCGAATGGTTTTCACCGATATCGAGGTAATTTCGCTATAAAAGTACGTGTAATAAGTTTTTTTTTTCGTCAATCACCAACGATCTCGTCCTTTTACTATAGTCGTGGGTGATTAAATAACTTCAATGAATACATCACCGTAATCTAGAAGTATGTGCCTATTCATGTCGTTGAAACCCTGAGCAACACCGTGTGGCACTTTGCAATTGTAAAAAGGGAGAGAGAGTTCAGTGGGGTTCGGTAATTGACGGAGCAGAACAGCAGCGATTTCCACAATTATACCTGTGGCCTTGGTGTTGCTGGACACTCGCAGCTCACTGCTCACCGCAAATATAATAAACACACACTCACGTGCTGAAGTGTCGTCGTTTTAAGTCTAGCTCACCTTTTAGCGCCCCGAATGTTTCGCGCCTCCAAAGTTCCGTACAATTGACAAAAAAAAGTAATTCTTTATTTTATTTTATTTTATTTTTTTTACAATATTAACTATTTAATAAGCTTTCGCATTTAATGTAGTAGCTCTATACAATCTTGAGAAAGGCGTATTTTTTTTTTTTTTTTTTTTTTTTTTTTTTTTTTTTTTTCAGAGTTCTCGAATACTATACCCATCCACTAGGATATAAGGTTCCCCATTACTGTACTCTTTGATAAACAAACCAGGCGTTCGGAGAAATTGAAAATTAAAATTTTGATCAACTCGACGATCCAACTGTTGGCTGAAGCCGAATCCTTTTTGTTTGGTCACGCTCTTCCTGCTAGCATTGACGTCCGATCGATCGATCTTTTCAAGGAAACCCAGCCCGAGGAAGGGTATCCAGCAATGCGCTCATGAGAACTGCTCCACATTAGATCATCGACACCAGGAAAATCCTCGAGTTCAAGGCATCGACTTTTTTTTCAAGAGAAATCAATCAAGTATCGATTCTGAATGTTGTTGTTGTTTTTTTTTTTTTTTTTTTTTTTTTTTTTTTTTTTTTTTTTTTTTTTTTNCAATTATAACTAATATTTTATTACCAAGTTGTATGATAAAATGAGTAAACTTTCTATTGTAAGTATAAGTCTCGGCAGCGCTTTACTTGATAATCGTCGTCCCTGACAGTGAGCTCAATGACTGTAATTTTAGTTTTTGAAAGCTTAGACGGACATAGAATATTAAAGTATGACAAAATTGGGCTTTGGAATAATAGCTTTTATTGAACAATAACCGTGAAAGGTCAAACTCATCACGACTATAAATTCTTGACATTTATTGGAAAAAAAAAAAAATTGTACGACCATTGAGAAAAATATGAAATGAGATTTCTCAAAAATTTACTTGCAGAGGCACTCCCACCCCGTGGGGAACTTTACGGTTCCCACGTCCATTTAATTTGTTTCTCGATGAAAAGGGCACTATACCATACCACCGCATGCTTTGTCATTCTCGTGCTTCTGTGTACGTAAGATAATTAACTGGTGAGTTGTTGCACGTGGCTCGCATACACTTCCACAAGTATACTGCATGAAACGAATCGTTTGGTTCATTAACCAAGCACAAATGAATTAAACATTACAAAGCTCTGCTGCTTTGGAGAGTTAAATGTGTGAATTTACGTGACTTTCCGACTTTTTTTTTTTTTTTTTTTTTTCTTTTTGCGCCCCCATACAATTTAAAAAAAAAGTTTGCGTCTACACAGCGCGGTTTGTTATTTCAAATATATGTATATAGAAATGTATCAAAGTTTTGTTTAATCTTGTAATATTTTAATGCAACAAGCCAAATATTTTTTGTCTGTTGTGCAGGTGGAAATTACTCAAGCAAACGATCAATGCAAATGGCTACCCTCACAGAGTTCGAGGAAAGCGTGTCCTTTGATCTCGATGACCCCGATTTTCCACCCCAAGTGGCGTTGAAGACAGCTCACGGTGTCTTTCATGGAATGAAATTTGCCGCGGAGATCGCCCTAAACGTCAACAAATGTAAGCAATACGTTACGTCAAATACATAATTTTTATTAATTTTACCATCAATCTTTTGTCTCTACGGTAATCATAAAAAATGTCACCAATTTGTTACAAAAATTTTCATCGTCGATACGAATCTTGAGATAACTATTTTTGACTTTGCTCTATATTTCTATTCTTATGGCATATCATCTTTATTCGTCTGTCAATGATACCTGAGAATATTTTTGGTCAATTTTCAAATCACTTTGAAGTTCAAAAGTCAAATATTGTCGTAATAAATATACAGTACCAAGGTTATAGCTGCCTCTTGTGAAGCTCCGAACTGATAATGTAAAAAAAAAAAATTTTAATACAATAACAGTGACTGACTGAACAAATATTATAATATCATACAATACGAGTATTGATTGAGACTGTGCCCATCGCTTTTTTAAATCAAATACATTTGGAACGAAATGAACGAACGTGCCAATAAACGAGGTCATTAACTCTTCCACTTAGGGAAGGGGATGTTTTATTTTTCTTATTTTTTCAATGTCGAGCTGACCGCGGTGCTCTTCAACAGGTCGATCGAGGGTTTGAAGTTTATTATACGCAATTAATTTATTAATTTGTCAAGGTAAGTTACGATCGTTAAAAAAATCGAGTATAATGTGGCAATGACATGACAGCCCATTGCATCTCGCGTATTTCCTTATGCGGTTTTGGTCTGGCATCGAAGCTTTCAGATACGTATTCGTCATGGCGCTGAATTTTATTCATAAGCGAAGAAAACTCATTCAGCAGGAAAAATTCAACAGTCCCTCTTTTTTTTCCTCGTTTCAGTACGAGAGACTACTAGGTCTGCTCTGTCTTCGCTCTACAATAACGGAGTTATTGTATTAACTGAATTTCCTCGTTAAATTATAATCGGCTAGGATAATCATACGAATGAAACCTTTACTTAAAATGACGTACAGTTAATTTGTTATTAAGGTGATTGTCAAGTAACGTAAATGCTGCCACATGACCTTTGTTAATACATTCTTGTTGTGAAATTAACCGACACATACTTAACTTACGAAGGGACAAAAAATAAAGTGATGTGTGGATTTGATTATTTTTGACGTATGGGTTGGACTATAAAAAAAAAAAAAAAGTTATAAATTTTTACAACGTAAACTCAATATAAAGTAGCCCGTGTCCCATTACTGTTAGGGACGTATGCCACATTGCTTGGGCCGTCCGTTCAATTCGATTGTTCGACAACTCGATGACGCAGATTGAGCCAACAATCGACCATATGTTGCTTAATTATGCATTCTTACGCTAGTGCACACCTTTCACGTGTAATATACGAATTCCCGTTGACTCGCCGATGTTCGGTGTCAAGCACACAAAGATATTTGCTTGCACGTGTGCGTATACCTTTTTCTATACTTATGTACACGCGAAACGAGGGACGAGGGCAGTTAATAAAATTTCCGGCAATTTTAACGCGCCCAACGATGGGCTTTTTGTCAGCCGTTTGACGTTTCGCCCATCGGTGACAAAACGCGATGACACTTCTGCTTCGCACTTTCGGTGACGTTGTTTCGATTAACTTTCATAATGTTATTATTTTCAACAACGACAACATTCATTGTATCTCTCGTTCTTTGCTTATCTCGCATTTTATCACGATCTTTTGTTTAGTCAAGGTATATTATATGTATAGGCGCACGCGCATCGCGTCCAACTTTTTCAGGTCTTTGTCACATTCAACGACCGATAGCAATTTACATTCCTTCGCGTGGGGGAACTGTGGACTCCAATTTTTCTTATATTTTATCGAAATCGATCGTAGTAAAAATAATCTTATGGTATTTACAATAATAATAGTGATGATAATGATAATATAATTATTAATGAAAATGAAAAAATTCTGGGTATAGTTGAAATTTACCTGTGATTGTCGTGCTTTAGTAGACACAAAGGGAACTCGAAATTTCACGTGTCCCATTACAGAGGACATCCATAATACGTTACGCAACTTAGCCCAAAACAAAATCACGTTACATTTTTTACTTATTTTTTTTTTTTCCAAGTACGATACTTCAGTTTGAGCGTAGTGCTGTTACGCAAAGTATCGATTTTTCAGCGTATCTTCAAACTGTTGAGTAAAAGATATTTTTTTTAAATTTATTTCCAACCCCGTTATCAGTTATCACTGACGTACCGAAGAAAAAAAAAAAAAAAAAAGTGTCACAAACAAAGTACTAAGTATTGATCACGGCAAATAATTATGCAAAAAGCACCGATTTTACATCGAAATATCAACAAACGTCCCCCGATGATGGATCAAAAATTCGCACATGCAAAACCCGTCCACCACCACGATCGCGCATACGTATATATACGTATTTGTGTGTATACAGGTACGTGGTGGTCTCCCCGATTCTAACAATATCCGTCCCCAAAGTTAAATATAGGCCGGTATACTCTTCTTTTGAACTCGAGTGATGGCAGGGACGGCGACGATGGGTAAAAAGAACCGGCGCCACGCTAACGTTGCGTTCAACGCTAATATTAGAAAGCCCCGCAAAATAGCTGTCCGGCCCATGACAATAACAACGTGCCGCGCCGCTTTCGAGGGATGCGAATCTCGACGGGGAGCTCTTTCACGGGTATATACCGATGTATAGGCTACACTTTAATGATACCATAAACGGGCGGAGGTGCGAAAAAGCGAGAGTTTGCACGAAAATCCGTCTCGCGTCCGTTATTTCTTGAAAAAGCAGTTTACGCTTGAGAGAAAATTAAATTTATTTTGTGGGGGGTAGAGCAAAACGAATGCAATTGTAGTATACAGCTGGAGACTGCAAGTGCTACATGGTAAAGACGGAGCAACCGAGAGGTGTCACAATATAAGCACACAATCGTACAAGAAGCTCAATGACACCTAAAAAGGGTTGTTTTTTTTTTCCTTTATTTTATTTGACAATACGTACTATGCGCGTGGAAAATGGTGTAAAGTATATGCGATTGAAAGGTCATACTGTGGGCAATCGTAATCGGTGATGCTTAAAAATAAAAAAAATGAAAAAAAAAAAGACACCAAGAGACCATTTGCAAATATATCCGATCGAGCGTCACGCGCAAAGTTCATCGTACCTGGCGCGTGCATACATATATTATACGTGCCCAACTATCTAATCGAAATCATGTGCGCCCCCACCAAAAGCTCTTGCTTTGTCTTGCGGATAAAATAGCCCCGGTGCATCAACAGTAGCATCATTTGTGTATAGTATGCAAGTGGGTAAAAATACAGGAAAATAGCGCGTGCAGGGGTGATATCTATATGGGAATTGGATCCCGACTATGGCTAGCTCGGCTTTCTTCCGGCAAACGCACGCGCGCAAAAAGGACACGCACGATCAATCTCTTTTCTTATTGCTCGCCTCTTTTATGCATATATACACATGTATGCCTCGTACCAACGAGCCTTTTTTTTTTTTTTAAGTCGGAGAGAGGTCGATCTGGTTTTTTTTTGGGCTCCTGCTTCTTTGGATTCATTTTTTTTTTTTTTTTTTTTTTTAAGTCGGTACTACATACTGTATACCTCTTTGATGTTGTTCGCAGTCGATTTCCTCCAAGCTTTTTTACAAATGGCAATTGTTGCTGCTCAGGCATACCTATTTATTGCGCGATTACATCGCTCGACTTTACATCGTATGGTAAAAATGATGATAATGGCTGNTTTTTTTCTATTTACCTCCAGGCGCCTGACCTTCGACCGCTCCTGCGGACGTTTACACCCCGCGTGCAAGGCTGCAACTTGGGATCTCTACTTTTTTCCCTCAAACTCTGTGGACTATCATCCATGTGATACCTTGTTCTCCGTGAGATCGCGTGATAAAAATAATAATTTATCAGTTACCCATCATGTGCACACAGAGAAAAGAAAAACTGCCGTTATTTCTACTGTACAACTACGGTGAAAAATCTTAGTAAGTGATATACGACGATCATACGCGTATATGGCCGGGTGATTTACATGCACCTACAGCCTATTTACGTACAGAACTGTATTCTTTGAATTTTTTGCACATTTCATGAGCCTGAAAAAAATTACTTTGCTTTTCTATGTAACGGGTTAAAAATCGTTTATGGAATAATTAGTGGTTTTCCTTTCATTAAAACTTGCTTGATAAGTCATCAGGTTGTGAGATAGAAACAAATCTATACCTAAAAATTGTAATAGTATTGGTCGTAGTTTCGAATTTAGTTGTCAATTTCACTAAGATTATTTGGTTGCGTTAAGTAATTTTTTTGTGCAATCTGAATGATGGTAATTACGCAGAAAGACAAGAGAAATGACGTATTTATCCTGCAGAGTAATTGAACCCCACTATTATCCCACTCAGTATAAAGATTTTTTTTCTGAGAACTAGGAGAAAAAAATCAAATATTCCGATTCACTATGACTATAAAAAAAAAAAAATCACGATGTCAATCAGCTGGTGGTAAACGAGATTGACAAGTTACTTGTTTTGCCGATAGATGACTGCACGAGCCGATCGCGCTGCCTCATAATTAACGAAAACCAATTAATTTCAAAATCCTGTTGATTGTAAAGTATTTTAGTCTGAACAGCTCTACCAGAGTCAAAACCCACGTAAAATCATAAGGAGTGTATAAATGTAACAAGAAATAAACACTTTTAAATAATTTTTCTGTTTATACGTATTTTAATTTTATACAATTGTACATTAGCTCAGAGTTGAATATACTTTGGTTTCAGTATATACATAGCAAATTTTTAATTTACAGGGCTTATACAGATAGAAACTCAAAAGATGTCGTTGCGTTGTAAATATTATGAGCTTGCATTGAAAAAACTTATCTGGACGGAAGTTAATGGGTGCATTATTTAGCAGAAACTAATTTTTCATACTTGTTTTGAATCATCTGTTTTTTTTTTTTTCTCATTACCGAAAGTAGTTATTTTTACAGTAATATTTATCTGATGCATTAAAAAAAAAAAAAAATTA